GTGACTTTACAACACTTCATCTTTCTTAAAATGCTAAATTAATTGTTGTTGTTGTTGTTGTTATTATTATTATTATTATTATTATATTATTATTATTATTATTATTATTATTTGTTAAATATATCAAATATTTAATATATTTAATATTATATATTATAATTATGGTTGTTACCTATTATAGTTAGAGTTATTATTATATAATATTACCTTATATAATTAGTATTTAATGTGGAGGATTCTAGAATATATTCCTCCACCTATAAATACATATCTTGTATTCCTCTTCTATTCATTCAATCAATAAAGCGTTCTTTATAATTTTACATGGTATCGAAGCCACCGTTCTTGGTGACCTAAATTTCTCCGCTTTCGCGTCTGGCGGGCGGCACCGCCATTAACCGCCGCCCGCCGGATCAATGTTTTCCTCTGACCCAAATTCTTCACCATCTCCTGAAACTATAAAGTTTTCTAGTTTCTTTTGTTGTCCGACGACTTTAAAAAAAGAAGAGGTTTAAATCAATTTCTACTCCTCTCATGGCGCCAAGATTGCAACTGTTCACTCGAGTGTAACATGAGGCACAATTAGTGGGTAGATCTTCGGTCAACATGCATCTCCGGCAGTACCTCATTCCTTATGTTTCTTCTCAAACCAGTCGCGCACGACTCTAGCGCGCGTCAACCTTCTCCCTCTTTCGACGTCAGCAATATGAGTCTGTTCGCAGCGGCTTTTCTCCTCTCCTCATCAGCGCCTTCACATCTCTTTCTTGGCAATCTTTCTTATTCTCTTCCAGGCCGGATGCATCCAGTCTACTCTAGCCGAAGATATGCCTCTAGCTTCTGATTACAATTCTGGTTACGATTCAAGTAAAGTTGGCATTCAATCTTCACCGTTCAGGACGTTGGGAGCATGTTAAATATATCAAATATTTAATATATTTAATATTATATATTATAATTATGGTTGTTACCTATTATAGTTAGAGTTATTATTATATAATATTACCTTATATAATTAGTATTTAATGTGGAGGATTCTAGAATATATTCCTCCACCTATAAATACATATCTTGTATTCCTCTTCTATTCATTCAATCAATAAAGCGTTCTTTATAATTTTACATTATTATTATTATTCTTATTCTTATTCTTATTAACGCCGGTGGAGTACATTGTACTATGCTCTGTTTGGATTCATTTGAAGAGCATACAGTATATTATACTTATAAAGTT